CATCCAACTCACCATGCAAGAAAGCAGTTTTAACATCCAGTTGTTCTATCTTTAAGTCATGTTGAACAACAATTGCTAGCATGATTCTAATAGTTTTAGATTTAACTACTGGAGAAAATATTTCAGTGAAATCAATACCTGCTCTTTGAGTGTAGCCCTTAGCCACTAACCTTGCTTTGAATCTTGGTGGGTCAGATTCATTTATCCCTTCTTTCAGTTTGTACAACCATCTGCACTCCACCAATTTCTGATTCTTTGGCTTTGGAACTAGTGTCCAGGTTTTGTTTGAGTGCAATGACTCCATCTCTTCCTCCATAGCAGCCAACCATTCTTTTCTATCCCTTGAACTCATTGCCTTATCATAAGTATTTGGTTCTGATCGATGTATCTCTGAACCAGCTAGGAGTGCTGTATAAATCAGGTCAGCATAGCTGTACCTTGTAGAAGGTCTGATTTCCCTTATGACTCTGTCCCTGGCTAACTGATATTGGGCCAGGTTATCATGCTGATCCACTTCAGCATTGTCAGTAGGGTGATCTTCACCCTCCTGCTCTAGATTATGTTGTGGTTGATCTTCAAAAGGATCAGTCTCATCTGTTTGGATGTATTGATCAGGGTTAGTTTTAGGCTCCACCTCAAACTGAGTTGTCTCAGTTTGTCCTGAAGTTTTAGACTCTTCTTGTGAGCTACCTGCACTTTTAGTACCAGATTTCCAAGGAAAGACTGTTTCATTGAAAATCACATCCCTACTAACAATTACCCTAACCCCTAGGGCAACCCTTTCCCACAGCCTATAACCTTTTGTTCCCTCTTGATATCCTAAAAAAACACACTTAAGGGATCTTGGTTTTAACTTTCCATCTCTGGTATGTACATATGCAGCACATTCAAAGACTCTTAGGTGTTCAAGCGATGGTCTCCTCTTAGACCACTTTTCTTCAGGGCACTTAAAGTCTATTGAGCTAGAAGGGCTCCCATTTATAAGGTAGGTTGTTGTACCTAGTGCTTCCAAAAGGTTTTTGGTAGCCCAGTTGTGAATAGGAGACATCTAACCCTTTCTAGAAGGGTTTCATTCATTCTCTCAGCAACCCCATTCTGCTGAGGGGTTCCCCTAACTGTCCTATGCCTCAAAATTCCCTCTTCTACACAATAAGAGTCAAACTTCTGATTATAGAATTCCAGGCCATTGTCTGTCCTAAAGGTTTTCACCTTCCTGTTAACTTCGTTTTCAACCAAGTTTTTCCAGCCTTTAAACTTGGTTAAGGCTTCATCTTTGGACCTAAGTAGGTACACCCATACCTTTATGCTATAGTCATCCACAATGGAGAGGAAATAACAATTCCCTCCATGTGTTCTAACTTTTTCAGGACCCCAAATATCTGCATGTACATAATCCAACCCTTTTTCAGCCAGAAGAGTTCCCTTTTGGAAACTCATTCTGTGTTGTTTTCCCAACACACAAACTTCACAGAAAGTTAAATCATATATGGATTCCTTACCAAAATAGCATTATTGGCTTAACACTATCATACCTTTTTGGCCTATGTGGCCAAGTCTCAAATGCCATTTCTCTACAGCAGTCAGATTAGTAGATGATAAAGCAGACTTTACAGTGAGTCCACAATGTTGACCACACAGAATGTACAGCCCATTTTGTTTTACCCCTTCAAGTAAAATTTCATTAGTCTTATACACAACTATGGATCCTTTTTCTGCCTTATAACTACATCCAGCTTCATCCAAAGTTCCTAAGGAGATCAGGTTTCTTTTGAGGTCAGGTATATACCTCCCTCTGGTTAACATTATGATTTTACCATTATTTAACCTAATGGTTATGTTTCCTATGCCTTGAACCTTACAAGAGTGAGCATTACCCATGAAGACAGTTTCTAACTCTCCTTTCCTAAAGTTCTAGAACCATTGGATATTTGGACTCATATGAAAAGTGCACCCTGAATCTAGAACCCATTCCTTACTGCTGGCTTGGTTTGAGACAGTGAGGGCTTCTGAAATTTCAATGCCAGTGCTAGTGCTAGCTAAGTTACTCTCTGTATTATGCTGTTTTTGTTTCTTTATCCAATCATAGCAGTTCTTCTTAAGGTGGCTAGGTTTATTACAGTGGAAACACTTCCTAGTTTCTCCCTTAGACTTGTTATTCTTCCCTTTTTTCTTAGCCCTAGGGTTTATGTGTTGCTGGAAATTCTTATTACTATCCTTTCCTAATTGTCCAGGATCTGCTCTACTTTTGACAAACAAGTTATTTCCATTCCTTTTCTGTATTTTCAACTCCAATTCCCTAGATTTCAGGCCTACTATAATCAGGTCAACACTGGGAACTGTTCCAGTGTATTGTAAAGCATTTTTCACCACTAAGTACTCATCAGGTAGTGAATTTAACAGTATCATCGCCAAACTAGAATCTCCTAACTCCTGATCTGTACCTTTCAACACTAATGTCATCTTAAGAAACTCACCAAGGTTTTCTTCTAACATCCATTTTATAAGAAAATAAAGCTCCTTTAAGAAATGCTAAGTTTGGTGCAAACTGTAAGGAATAAAGGGATTCGAGTTTACCCCAAAGTGTGAGTGGTGTTTCCATGCCATCTACCTTTCGCAAGACTACATCGAACAGATTCATTATGATTAGATTGTAGGCCTCCTCATCCACTTCAGCCTTCTTTTTTAGTTTCTCTTCAGACCACTTGGTGGTATCTTTTTCCAGGGCAAGCCCCACTTTATTATGCGAAAGAAGGGTTTTCATCTTCTTTTTCCATGTATTAAAATCGATCTTCCCATCATATTAGGAGATGTCCATATGAGTAGTGCTCATTGTATTGTAATAACTGAGCAGAACAGTCAAAGGTTACGTGGCGTTGTTATACCAGAAGTTGCTAAGTACTGCTAGGTAGTTTTTAAGGCAGTTACTGGTGTTCTAGCCTAAATACCCTTAAACTGTATCAAACAAGGCAAGACACAAACAAGACGAAAGTGACAAGACTACTACAACCCCTTAGACAATACCAAGATTTCTTCCCTGGCTCGTGTTTGTGACTCTGACTAACCAATTCGACCAGATTCAAGGACAATTCGAAAACCTAAAGCCCTATAAGCCTTTAATCCGAAAAACCCTCAAATCTGACAAACCCTAATTTTTGATTTTGTACGAATTTCGTCAATCCCTTGTGTTTGTAACCTAATCTCACGAATTAACCCCAAGACTTAGCAAGATCCGAAGTCCTAATGATCTAGAATCTTGAAATCGAAAAAACCCCCAAATCTAACAAACCCTAATTTTCGAATTCGTCAAGAAAACCAAACGATTTCTAACCCTAAATCCCCTTTAGAACTTTAGCTCTAATACCACTGTTATAACTCAAGCCTAATAAGCAAATTCGCAATACAAATAAACACAAACAAGATTCAAGATCAAAGAATCACACACACATAGAGATCAAGGCATGAATTTACCGTGGTTCGTCTATCCAATCTTGGATAGACTACATCCACGTTGAGCTTCGAAATACGGACACTCACAGCACTAAAAGATATTCAACGATTACAAGAAGACAATCATACAAATCTGCCAAAACAGATCAACCCTCAACCAAGGCCTATTCGCTCAAGAATCTCTCAATAATTTGCAAGAACACAGAGGACAAATACTAGCCTCAAGAAGGAAACGCAACCCTCTCTCACAATCTACCCAGATTATACCCAGAAAGACCCAGCAAAAACCAACCCTAGTTTCTCTCTTTCACAAATGCTAAACCTGATTATCAAAAACGCATTCTATATCTTTCATCACCGTTGCTTTCTTTATATATGCCCGTATTAGTAAACATCAACCCTTGGATCTGTCTTGATCTGACGGCTAGGATTCAGCAATGGCCTTAAGTGAAACGTCCATGTTTTGGCTTCCAATGGACTTAAGTGAAACGACCCCGTTTTAGCTTCACATTATTTTTCACCATTATTTTCCTTAATAGTTAAAGTACTGCAGACAGTGTTTTTACATCTTGAAAATGGGTTAATAGTTTTGAGTAAGGGATAATTACTTTAAACCCTTCAAGGTTTTTTTGAACTATCAAAAAACTCCTCACATACAAGTGATAACGAAAGCCTATTGTCGTCTGTCGACTCAGACATTAACACTAACAGAACTAATCATTCACATACCTGTACATGTTAAATACCATTTTTACCCCTGAACTTAAAATATATGCTTATAACCAAGAAAGCCTTAAACTCCCCAAGGCTTGCCCAAACCTAAGTAACCCCTCAGGCATGTGTTATGACCATTGTGCCCCTCTGACTACTTTAGCAGAATTTTGTTAACATCTGACAATACTAGTATCTAAGGGGTTTTTTTTTTAATATTTTGATAAACCTCTGAGGGTTTTAAATTATCTCTTGAATAAAGATAGACCGACAAACATTTTTCACAAACTTCTTTCACTAATATTGATGTTGACAACTCATAATTACTCCTCACGTTTGATTAAACGGGACTTATTGTTAGACAAGCAAAACCCATAGTGAACTTATCTATTACGAACTGATACGTTGTATTTGTAAGAGAAAATTAATGAAAAAAGTTTGTAAGTATAGTATTACTCGAAAACTAGAATAAGATAGGGTTATACATGTTATCTTAATTCTACCGATTGTAATTTAGTGAAGAGTAATGCTACAGCCACCGAAGGTTTCGCACCGAATCTGTGCACCGAATGACGTGACTAAATCTTGACCGTTTATTCATTATCAATTAATATTAATAAACGTTCAAGATTTTGACACGTCATTCGATGCATAGATTCGGTACGTAACCTTCGGTGGCTCTATCATTTTCGTTTAGTGAAAATACAATGTGACATTAATTTAATTGGCGTTTGTGACTTTGGACATTTGAAAACACATAATATGTTTAAAAAGTTGACTACTAAAAGATTTTAAGAATTTTATGCCTAAAAGTTAAAGAGGTAATTTCAATAAGAAAACAGGAAAAAAAAATATCTTTATTACTTTTACCTAAACACAATAGATAATTTATGAAAGGCAAAATGGAAACAAAGCAACAAGAACAAGTCTTTTCTGGAAATCAAAATCTGCCTGCATGATGTTTTAGATTTTATCCTGCAAATACAAAATCCTGCCGTTGAAAGCAACAAACTGCTCATTTGTAAACTAGGCAGATGAGGAGGCGACTGCCCCCTCTTCAGTGAAGAATGGAATAGGTTTAGTCGGGGCAGGCAGGCGGCCGATGCTATCCACTTTATCTTTCTGTTTAGGAGGCGGCCTGGCTGCTCTTGGCAGCAACCTCCCCTTCTTCTCAAACCACTCAGGCTTAAGCAATGCCCGCAAACCCAACTTGTTGTAATAAACTTTTCGGACAGACCCTCCTGCAGCTTCAACTGCTTCTTTCGCTCTAACAGTCACCCTTGACACCTGTAATCCCATTTACACGAGTGTTTTTTAGTTAAAAGCAGTGTGTTTTGACATAAGAAGTTTCGAATATGGATTAAGATCGTAAAATCATGAACAAAAAATTGGATATCTATCAGTCAAATATTATGAATGCTTAATGTTTTTGGGCAAACAGCATACAGAAAGTTAATTACCCAATTGTAAACCCAAAATCAGTTAGCTGAGAACTCTGGAACAAATATGCACTGATAATGAAATAAAAGAAAAGTCTTGTTCATATAATTTGACCCTTGAGTGGTAACACTCCTAATTTTAAGCCAAAACACAGAGTAAACTCTGAACATCATGAAGCTATAGTATAATAAATATTTAATTATAAGAAACCCTGGCAATTATGATTAGAAAATGGTAAGAACGGCAACACGCAAAATAAGATATAAATTTACCTCCAGATGAATTGGCCACTTGATCTTTTCAGCTCCACGTCCCATCAATCGTACACCATCTTCTATCTGCTTCCCTATAGCTCCAGTATCCTACTGAAACAGTAACAATCAGTATGAACCAAAGCACATGAATGAAAAAATTCATACAGAATATCCAAGAAGTTTACAAACCTTGAGAGTCTTCATTGTAATTAATTCATGAGAATCAATCTTCCCTGCATTTATTAGATATGCAATCTTTCCCAACCCTACTGGCTGACAGAAAATATGAGCAAGTCATTAAAGAGTAACTTGAAAGAAAGGTGAGAAATTTAAAAACTTCCATAATCATGTGAGGGTTAAACACAGAATAGGAATCTTGAGTACTTCAATCAAAGAAAAGAAAGTTATTTAATTATGTATTTTGGATAATTGTGAGAGTCTTCAATAAGAGCTCTGCTGCTCACATGTAACTGCCTAAAAAATACACAGAAACATGTTGTTTGTTATTTAATTATGTATTTTGGATAGTTAACGTAGGATAATTGTATTAATGTGAGTAAAAGGAGAAAGATGCAAGAAAAACTTCCACAGAAAGAGACCCAACATTGCCGGGTAAAAACACCAGTCCATTTTTTTTTTTTTTTTTAGGGAAAAAATAATATGTATTGATGACAAAAAGAGTTACAGCAGTAGACCGAATGCCCACAAAACACTCTCAAAGTGACATAAGCTATACAATATAAATGTGAATCAATCTATCCAAAAGCCCCAATATCAAGTTAATTAATAACCCCATCCCAATTTAGATGAATAAAGAAAAAGTGAAAAATCGAGAAAATCCTTAGAGACTGAGGCCCAAAACAATGCTAAGAACCGAATCCTATCCCATAAACCACTAACATTCCAGTCCAAAGTGCTATTGACAAAGGAATCACAATTAGTTTCAAACACCATTACCATTGGTTTTGTGTTGTAGTAGGGACAGCCAATAACAAGAAAAGCTTGACAACAGATCACTTTAGAAGATTGCAAGTGGCATTTTCTCACCAAATAAAATATTAGATGAAGGGTGGATTCAGTGGAAGATTTGAAGATCAAACATGGCATTTTTACGACAAAGGTGAAATTGGAGAGAAGTGATTACAAATATCCTAACAAACATGAAGAAAAAACAAGTTCAAATTCCTAGGAGACAAAAGATGAAGTTTGATCTCTCAGATGAACAGAGAGTAGAAATTGACAAGCTTCTTTTAAGAGATCCGTTATGTTGCATTCTAGAACAAGTGATCCTTCAAAAAAGAAGAAAAAAACAGAATTCCTTGTGGCAGGAAAGATAAAGGGAAGAAAAGAGGGATGGACATTCACCTTCATATTTCGACCAAAAAAAAGATGCACCAACAGGACAAGGCATAAAGCAACCAAAAACCTTCAAACTTCAACAACAGAAAACATATAAATCAATGAATGAAATTCAATAGACACATTTCTCAACTATATAATACAGCGGATATCAATTAGATTATAAAAAAATGAAATGATAGTACAAACATGAACCAGGAACCTGAAAATTTATCATTTCACATCTCCATTCAATATAATCAAAATGCATATCATTCATTCAAAAAATAATAAGAGTATATTCAGGTTACATTATTAATTCTTCTTAGTTCATTTTATGGACAAACAATTACGTCAATTCAACCCACAACAGTAGAATAACCAAAACCATTTATTTTCTCACATTTTACAGTTTTCTCCGCAGCCAAACAAAACAAAAACCATCAATCAAACGCTTGACATCACCCACCAAAAAAAAAAAAAAGAAAAAAAAAAAATCTTAACCGCACTCTCCAATAACAAATTCATCATACAAATTAAAAGGGTACCTGAAGGTGAGGCTAAAGGGTTTTTGAATCCTCTTTTCGGCAAACGACGGCGCAATGGAGTCTGCCCCCCCAAACCCAAACTTCATAGTCCCCCTAGCCTTCTGCCCCTTATGTCCTCTCCCAGCAGTCTTGCCCTTCCCGGACCCAATCCCTCTGCCCCTTTCTGGTCTTCTGCTTTCTGGGTATTTTATCTCTCAAGTCTTCAAGCTTAAAACTATAAGCCCTAATCCCCATCACATTTCGCTGAAAAAAGCTTGCTGGCTTGAATTAGGGCATTGTAGTTGTAGGACTGTATGGGTTTAATCGGAGGGGGGGTTGTGGGTTTGAGTAAAGTTTTGAAGTGGTGGTGGAGGAGTAAAGAGATTCTTCTCATCATTTTCGTCGCTGTTTCGATTGACGGATCAGGGTTTTAGGGTTTTGATCATTTTGGGGATATAGGGTTTTAGAAAGTGAATTGAATTTAGAACATTTACAGGGAAACAAGGGTTGTGATCCAGTAAGGACGTCATTGCAAGAATTTTACAATCTCCAATTCTTTCTCCGCGTAATAAAATTAGACTTTTTATCTCAAATTACTTATATTACAAGCACTAATGGTGCGTTGGTTATATTTGGATAGGATTTTGGGATAGGATTGGATAGTTGGATAAGGTTATGATTACGAGAATAGGATTTTTAGAATAGTGTTTGGTTGAGTATGTTGACCTTGATATTTGTGTTGAATATTTGATTAATATATTTTTTTATAAATGATTTATAATATAATATTTTGTTGAATTTTGTTAAAATATGTATTATTATATATATAACTTATCAAGTTACATTTTAATAATACTAAATATTTTATTGGTAATTTTGTCACCCGTAGATATTAAGAAACAAAAACTCATATTAATTTCAAATACTAATTCAACTGTTTAAAAACTCATATTCATACTATATGACAAAAGTACTAATTACAACCCTTACAATCATCTTACACATATCTCCTTAACAACTACGACATGGTCCACTGTGCTGCCCACAATGCATTCGTTATGTTATCCCATAGTCGCCATATTGTCTATAATACGTTGTTGCGGTAGACTCGGTCCTTCTCCATTTCGGCCATATTCTGTCCCGTTTTGACGATCACATATATTTGCTCATTACCTGTATTATTATTGGTTTGTTCGAAGATACGGTCGTCCATATGTGCATTCTGATAAAATTATGAAGTACACAACATGCCATAACAATCTTCCCTTTTTTGTCCAACGGGTAATTATTCTTCCATTCAGAATACGGAACCGTCTTTTCAAAACACCAAAGGTTTCTCTACACAACATTGCGGAGTGAAGAATGTCTGTATTAACAACCTTGCGGCCCTCTTCGGTTACGGCGATGATCAGAAATATGGTAAGCCACTTGTCTATGGGGCAAGGAACCCGTCTCTATTGGATAACCCGCATCAACCAAATAGTATTTCCCTGTGATATATTAGACATTTTATTTGAATTACAGGGCCTCAACGTGGAGCAAATACGCTATAATATGTCAAGAAAATACTTATACCTGGTGGAGGATGTGGGAATCCAGAATTAGGATCATCAAGAATTGAATTTAACTCTTGAATCATGCGCAGATCCTTCCCATCCAGTAACGACATAAGTGAACATCATGTTAAAGTCGCATACAGCCATTACATTCTGTGTCTTCGTTCCTTTGCGATTCCGTACCTATCGGCAAATTCACGTGGAACCGAAGCGTATACATGTGTGCCATCCATGGCTCCAATACAGTCCTATCATGAAAATTGAATTTTACTCATATTAACCGACTATAAAAATTAATACCACAACAACTTAACTACTACTATAAAAACATAATGAACCTACCTTAAAGAAAGGGTAATTTTCTGTTGGCTGATATTTCCCATGGAACATCATTGAAGTCAGGTGGTCTGATAACTCTGTCTTCAACTCACATAGCGTCGCAAACTGCGGCAACATGTCTAGAGATCGTCTCACCAGAATGTTGGAAATCCTCCATCATTGTTCTGATTCTCGTTTTTTCCAACGATTTTAGAATATCATAACTTGTTCTTCCAAACTCGTATTCCTGGTTGTTGCAATTTGCCTTGATCGGACAAAATTTCACATAAGTATGTAAAACAGTCTTTGTCCAGCGGCACTTGCATAGATCCTGTCAGGATGACCATTGAGTACTTCCAACATGTACTCATGACCAGTTAATATGGATGTATCGTGGTTCAGGCCTACTTGCTTCTAACGCGGCAACACCGCAGAGTGCAATGGCTATATCTGTCAGTATTTCTTCTTCGTCCCTCTCATCTGTAGCACGTCGTCTTCTTCCTGTACGGCTAGATGACGCCATTTAAACCTACACATTTTCAAAACATATCAACAATTAACAGTTGTTGTACTACTTAGCAAAATAAACAGCGAATGTTTAATTCTAATGACAATCCAAAACGATGTTTAAACATGTAATATCACATAAAACAGTACCACAATTAATAAGTTCATACAGTAGCGTTATAAATTGTAATGTAATGACAACAGCCCACTGACGCATACAAAATTGTTGTCAAACACTTAGGAAATATGTGTCATCTACTTATGGAAAATTTGTTATAAATCCAGTTAGCCTTTCCTCAAGCGGGAGTCTCACGAATATCTCCCGCCACCCTTGATTTTCATATAAGTACTCGACAACCGGCAGGTAAAACTGTGTTGGTACTTGCATGGCCGTCAAGATGTCAATACAATGCTCATGAAAAAGGATCAGATGCAGCACTGGTGTTCTCTCTTTCCCTCATCTGCACTGCAATTGCTAGCCCTCGATCCCATAGTCCTCTTCTCCGCAAGCTCTTCCGTCAAGCTAAAATGGCATCCGCAAGTGATTGTCCTCGGCTGCTTCTGTTCCTCCTATTTCTCGCTCTTCCATGGCCAGATGTGTTTGGTGTTTTTCCCCTGTCGTCCGATCAGGATCAGGTTCAAAGTCGCTACTATCCATGGGAACCGCTCAGGATTGGAATAACTGGAGTTCTCCACTGGTTGGATGTAGATGTGTACGCATATCTCCAGTGGCAGTTTGCTTCTCAAATATTATTTCATAAAGCTCCTTATGAGGAAGTCCCTTGTGGTAAAATTGTTCGCCAGTGGGTTTTGCTGGTAAGTTAAAAGAATATATATAATATTTAGTAGTCCGAAAAAAGCGTACATTTACGGTGTCATTGAATAATATAGTTAAAAAATATGAAAATTTACCTTGACATATTCTTGCCAAACCTCAACGGGACACGTTGGACTTTGTGACTCATGATCCCACCCGAACCCCTGTGTTGCAGCAATTTCCGCATGCTTGATAAGTTTGTCGCAGGCGAAAGAACTTAGAGGCTAATTGTGTGACGTTGAGTCTCCTGCCAGCCACTGATGATATGTCGTCCAACATTGCCTGGTAATCTGCTGTTTTTATTGCGGTACCGTGCGAATTTTTGGCCCGCTCAGATAACAAGACCATAAATTTGTGTGCATCCAGCAGACCAGGCCACAGAATCACTCTCTAAGGACAGTACGGTAAGGGACAACAAACATTGGGACACCATACGAATCATCAATCACATTAAAAAATATAATACTAACATGTGGTGGTAATCAAGTAAACACAGATAAACTTATACCTCGTTCGATCCGACACTGCTTGATGACGTCAATGCAGGGGCAGATACAGACAATGTCGACCAACTGGGTGTATGACGAACTCCAATTCTGGAAAAACGTTGAAACTTTCGCCTCTGCTTCAAGTAGTAATCAACCCTGCGACGTTGAGGCAAATTATACTGACATCTATGCATATGAGCGTAATTTGTTGTTATGATTAAAGAACGACGTCGAATCTACAGAACAAATATATCAGTTAGTGAAATCTGAAAAAAATAATTCTAATTATCCAATAATTCATCCATTACATACAAAATGTTCATATAACATATGAAGCTGTACAATTTTTTGACACTGTGTTAAAGGAAAAAAGTACTAACAATGGCAAGATTAAATAGAAATAAGTACAATTACGATGTATGTCTTCACATAAGCTAACTGGTTCGCAAAAGCCAACTGTCTCTTTACAACATATTTATAAAGCTGCAAAAAAAAAAAAAAAAAAAAAAAAAAAAACATTAATCTCATTCGCAAACGCCACCCCAAACAAATTCATACACATCATACAGACATATTTCAAAAAAAAAAAAAAAAAAAAAAAAAAAAAAAAAAAAAAAATATTCAAACAGCCGTTTCCCTTCTGCTACAGCATATTATAAACTAGCAACAAAACCAACAACAACAAAAAAAAAAAAAAAAAAAAAAAAGAAAAAAAAAAAACGAAAGATTAAACTCATTCGCCAAACTCCAACACCAAACAAATTGACGCGCTCATCCAACATGTACAACACATTTACAACCTGCAAAAAAAAAAAAAAAAAAAAAAATCCAAAACGTTCCCTTCACTAAAATCAAATATTTTCGATGACAGATCTGATGGTTTGACAGTATTGTGGCATAACGGTGAACGATCGGAGTGTTTGTGGCTTGAGTGGGTACGTGGTGGTCCGTCGGTGGTTGCGGTGAACGATCAGAGTGTTTGTGGCTTAACGGTGAACGATCGGAGTGTCTATGGCTTGATGTGGGTATCGTGGTGGTCCTCGGTGGTTGCGGTGAACGATCGGAGTGTTTGTGGCTTGACGGTATTGGGCTTAACGGTGAACGGTCGGAGTTTTTCACTGAAATGCTGAAGTGAAGAAACGGTGAGAAGCTGCTAATGTAAACTGAAATGGTGAAGTGAAGAAGCAGTGAAGAAGAAAAGTGAAACCGTGCGTAATGCAAACTGAAATGGTGAATACTGAACAAGTGAAGTGAATGAGCGTGAAAGAAAAAATGATGAACACGTGAAAAAGGACTGAAAAAAATACAGGTGAAGCAATGAAGAAGAAAACAGAACGCGTGAAAAAGGAAGGCTGCAAAAAAAATTTCAAATGTGTCATAGACTGTCAAAAGAGAAGAGTGAAAAAGGGGAAAGCTGCAAAAAATAAATCAAACGGTCAAAACTGTCAAAAGTTAGAATAGAATTTCAAGGACCCTATTATCTAAATATTGAACCAACACTATTGGGAAAGTCTGACTCTAAATATGGATGAAAATACTCATCCAAACACAGCCAATATATATATAATATATATATTATATATGATGAATTTTTGTCGAACATAATGCAAAAAAAAAAAAAAAAAAAAACAAAGTTGATGAAGAAAAAAGTTTTCATAATGAATTTATTTAGAATAATTTAGATTTTTTTTTTGAGATTGAGAATAATTTTTGAAGTGTAAATAGTCTAGAAAATTATAACCTAAGCATGAATTAGTGATTTAGTGGAATCTAATTGCTTAGAAGTTGTGTTACAAACAACTTACAATAACCTAAGTCATAATATACTATGGATCACTAATGTCATTATTAAAGTAAAATTGTTCTTCTACAAATAAGAATTTTTTTTTTTAATAATCTCTAAAATAGTCTTTTTTTTTTTTTAATTATTATTAATGAAATGATCATCTACGCTCTTGTCATGCGGACATTTTTCCGACTAGCTCAGCTTCTTCTTTAGTCTTGGTTGATTTAGAGAACGAATGAGGAGTTGGGTTTGCTCCAGTTCAACTCATCATTTAATCTTTGGTCGATTTAATAAACGAATAAAAAATTAAGTTTGTTTCAATACCATTTATTATAGATCGAGAAATTACAATATTTCTGAAAGCTTAATTTACGAGGTGATATTTGTTACTTATCTTTATAAATCCAAGATCCCTATTTAATATGTATTGCAATTTGCAACAATACGGTAACATAACAAAATTAAATCAAATTTTACTCGTTTAAATCCTATATTTTAACTTATTAGCTAGCTTTAAATTGAATAATTATCTTTCAACTATCTTTTTTTTTTTTTTTTTTTTGTGTTTTTTTGTAAATTTATAAAAAAAAAAACAACTTTAAGTCATAAAATGTATTTAAATAAATAGGATAACCAAAACTGATAAACACAAGGGTTTAATTATTATACAAATTAAGATCTCTATAATTATCTTATAAATAGATAAAAATAATATCATAACGTGGCATAATATTATTCGCTAGGAAAGTGGAGCTGTCATGGTTGACTATCGCCAAACCGTAGGTTGTATAAAAGGAGACGTTTTCTGAGCGTTTTTACAAACAAACATTGAAACGAGTTCTTCAACGATCTAAATCTCCAGTCGACTCGGTGAGTTAACCCTCTCTTTCTATGTCTCTCAAATTCATTTATTGATTTTCTTGGTTTTAATGTCTAGATCTGATTCTAAGATTCAAATTTATACGGTCTGGGCGGTAAAACTTTAGATTTTGATCAGTTATTCCGATTTGATTTTGAATCGATTTAAATAGATAGAAATTCGAAAATTTGAATTGAAAATCAACGTTAGGGTTAAATGTTTTTGTTGAATAAGATTTATGATATCGTTGATGGGTTGATCTGCATATTGTTTTTTTATGGGGCTTAATTTGTGAATTTCATTATGAACAACCCTCGTTTGTTTTGTTTTTAGAATTTAGGTTTAATTGATATGCATATAGATTTATTGAACTTGGGTTTAATTTGGAAATTGAATTCGCTGACTGGGTTTGTGGCTTGATCTGGAAATTGTTTGTTTATTGAAATTGCATTGAAAATGAGATTTTGCTTGTGCTTGATTTGGGTAAAGTTGTTATTATTGAATTGTTGAATTAGGGATTTTAAAACTTTATGGGTGGATGGTTTAGGAATGGCTTTGACCGGAACAGCTCCCCCAAGAGGAAGTGCAGCAGCAGCTGCCAGCATGAGAAGAAGGAGGACAACGAGTGGTGCTGCTGCGTCAGGAGGTGCAGCTGGTACCATGCTCCAGTTTTACACGGATGATGCTCCGGGACTTAAGATCTCGCCAAATGTTGTGCTTGTTATGAGCATTGGTTTCATTGCTTTTGTTGCTATTCTTCATGTCATGGGTAAGCTTTACTTTGTTCGAAAAGAGTAGAGCGGGTGAAAGTGTTGTCATACCTATTGAATTTCGGTATGGCGAGTTCTGGATATTGGAATTCAGATTTAGTGTTTGTCAAGTTTTTTGGAGAATGAGTTTGTTTCAAGTAACATGATTCTTGTTCTAAGCCTTAGACACATTCAAAATTTTAATATTAGCTTCTTCTTAATGAGAATTTATTATTGATTCAATTTTTGCTGTTGGATGTTGATGTGTATGGTATTGTTGTGCTCTTAAAATACTTAATTAAATTAAAAATTGATATTTGCGGCCACAGGTTGGAGTTGTCCTCAAAAGGATACAATAACTAGTTAGATCTTGTATAGTGGAGCTAGAGGTTTATGATTCAATCTGTTTCAGACCAAACTTGGGTGTGAGATTCAATTGAATTTGTGTTTGTACTTAGGAAGGAATGTTGTGTGGTAAAGAATAAGACTACTGGGTGGTTCTGAATATGGTTGAAATCTATTGCTTAAAGATGAGTCTTGCAAGACCTTAGGTCAAGTCAATCTTGTCCTTTGTTTTATGTCCTATGTCAAGATTTACATTTTTCTTGTTGGGTGGATTGGTTCTCTAATCAATCAAATAGGAAGAAGTTTATCACTCGTATAGAAGGGGAAACCGGCATTCCGTTTTTTGTAATATTGCAATTACATTAATCTATCCAACATGTTAAGGAGTTGAATTCGGTTGAGATTCTTTAGAACATCTTCTACAGAGAAAATGAAACCATATGGATATAAGAGATCATATGATTGCTTGTTTTTCTAACTGTTCTTTCTCACTCAGCTGATTGTTTGTAATTGCGTTTGTAAATTTTTGCGCTGCCATCTGTTGGAGTTTGGTTGTTCTTTTTAAGTTTGACTACCTTGGCCTTCATTTACATCATGAAATAACCATTTTGATTAAATCCAAGTTCATATTTACTAGAATTTGAGTATGGAATCATGTTAAAACTACTATGTTTTGAAGTGCCACCATGGAAGAGTCAGGTTCTTTGAGTTTGTGCTTGATTATTGTCAGACCCATTAACGGCATTGAATCCTTTTGATATGTTGATTTCCGGAACGGGGATAATTCTCGGAACAAATTGATGATGAACTTTAGCAGTTGGAAGATTGCTTGAGTTAAAATATTTGGGGGTAGTATGCGATCATTGCAAGGAAATAATTTCATGTATTATGGATTGTGACAAATTTTTTTATCTCTGCATGCTTGGTTAATTGATGAAGTTGTGAAAAGCCCTTGACCATTGCCACCTTCATCTTTGAACTATCAACCACGAGAACCATTTTATTTTCAACGAGTAATATTACGCCTACAACATATTCTCACAAACTTCTCTTATAACTCCAACGTGATAGTTGAGTTGACTTTGTCACTTCAGCCACACCCAAGACATAAAATAATTTTGACTAGGAACAACGTTCCTTCATAGGGAACAACCTTTTCTTATTGAAGGAATGACCGTTCTTTATTGACAGAATGACTATTCTTCAAGGAAGGAATGGTTGTTCCTCTCTAAGGAAACTGTCATTCTTTCCTTATGGAACGATCGTTCCTTATGATTGAACGTATGGTCATTCCAAGGAGTGACCTTTTCTTATGAAGGTATGACCATTCCTTATGATATAACATTCCTTCATAAGGAATGATTGTTCCTTATGAAGAAACGTCAATTCCTTCAGAAGGAATGACCGTCCTTATACAGAGAACGATTATTCGTTTCTAGTCAAAACCTTGAGTGTGGTGGGAGTTGACATGATAGTGTCAACTCCACTATCGCATTAAGGTTGTAAAAGAAGGTTATGATGTAATATTTTTCGTTTTCAATTTGATCATATATGATTTGAGAAATTTTTGAAGGTATTTGAAGGAACACTGCTGTCACAGCCTCCTTTGATTTGACTGGAAAAAAAATGGCAGCTATAGAAAGAAAAAACTGCCGACAAAATATAAAATTTGATCGTAAATACATTAAAATATTAGGGTTAAATGCGTTTATAAAAATAAGTCGAGTAATTTTTAAAAACAGTTTTCGGATACAATCCTTGTGTAAGACCCTTACAAAGGGCAAGGGCAGGCGGGTGGCTTTCATCCTTAGCCACAGCCTCGCCAAGACAACACACGGGTGTGTGCTGAACAAGGATGGTTGAGATCAAGTGTGGGGTGTTTGAGTGTTGGGACACCGAACACTTACTGATGAGAGAGCTCGCGAGTGCGGACACTTGCGAGCTAAGACATGCGCGAGCAGGCAGGTCGTTAACGTGGGTGTGGGTACGCTCACGAGTAGGCTAGGCTGCCATGAGCAGGCTAGACAGTGGCACGAACAGGTTGGATAGTGCCACGAACAGGCAAGACAGTAGCACATGAGCAGGGACGTGTGCGCGCATACAAGTTAGATAATGAGCAGCTGAATTCAGGCATGGGGCAGAGACCAACGTGCGTGAAGTGCATGGGGCATGCACTCGATTGATGGGAACAATCAGACAAGGCTGCATGGTTGCTGGACCAAGGCTGTGGGGCAGTTATATGTGTCTAGGTTCATTGTATGTAAACCAACTGTCATGTAACTGTTGATAAGATTGTAAAACTATTATGTAACTGCTGTGCCATTTGTATATAAGGCTGGCAGATAGGACATTCGTGATATAGAGAGTGAGAGGGCAAGGGTTATATGTGTTTGTAAGCCTTGTTGTAACTTGAGTGCGAATCTGTGAGTGAGGATCAGATTGTAAACAGTGGGAAACGCTGTGTGTGTGCTTGAATTGTCCTTGTATTCGAAAATATAATATAAGGTTGGGAATTTACGGTATATGTTGTGCATTGACTCTCTTTAGCCTCTGTTGTCTTGTGTTTGTGATTTGTAACAGGGGGAACGCACAAGTTGAGGCAGGCTTACAAGTGCTCGGTGTGCTTGTGCCGCGCAGTGCCTAGAGGCGAAAAATAGGCCCTGTGACACCTTGTTACTTTTATGGTTTTTAATATGAAAACAGCTTTTAAATATTACATCAAATATATTTTTAAATATTAAAAATATTAAGATATAACTGAAAAATTTGGAATAATATTTTAATTTTTGAAATTTGTTTTTCAATCACAAGTCAATCAAGCCCTTAATTTTCAGTTAACTCATATCTAAACACAAGGAGAAGATATCGTTGTTTTAATACTCATTATCAATATTCTGTATCATGCTATCAGTAAGGTTGAGACTTGAGACAAAAAATTTAATTGAAGCCTTCTTATTTTAATAGGAAAAAATTACATTAATTTTTTTATTATTCAAATTCCTGAAATACACTAAATAGAATATTGCAAATTTAAAATTAAGTAATGCATATTATTATGTTCTACTTACGCTATTTTTAAAATTTTAAACTAACATATGTATAATTAATTTCTTTTTGTGTTGTACAAATTATAGTATTAAATGGATATTACAAAAAAAAAAAAAAAAAAAAGAATAGTGGAAATATTGAAATATACACTTTCTTGAATCTTGAGTAAAAATATTTTATCTCAAAAAGAAATGCTAAATATAGAAATTTTACTTGTAAGAGTAGATTATGAATATTTGATGAAGAAGAAATAATGTTAAATGGAATTTATTTAATGGGATATTAATAATTTTTTTTTGAGTTTATTAAGAAATAGTTAAATTAAATAATATGTTATCAATCATATTAGGCAGAAGTAATTTTCCCACCCCTTGAATGTAAAAACTACAAAATGCCACCCAAAATAATAATAAATATAAAATATATATATATTTTACCATAGAATCATTAATTTCTAATAAGTTATAACATACTTAAAAGGAAATAATTTAAATGTAACGAGCTATTAATATTATTTTCTTTGTAAGAGAAATATGAAATTTTTTATCCCATATATCAATAGCATCAAATCATACCTAAAAAAGTAACAAAATCTTGAAGAATTAGTATTATTTCCCATCAAAATATCATAGACTTAATTATAAATATCTTATATGTTAATGGTTTAGGTAGTTCTTTCATAAATAAGAGAAAATATTAAAAATTCCTCAATCTCTTTGGTGGTTCTACATTTACTCTTTGTTTTGATTGGCACAGGTAAATTATAATTTTCTAATTATTGTTTTTATTCAAGTTTTTAATGATGAAGTTGTGGAAATTTGTCGATTCCTTAATTGCAGGCAGTGAGAAGATGGAGGTGAATGGTGCTGAGTGTAAAGGATCAATAATAATGAAACCAGGGAGACTTTATTTCCAAGAATATTGTTTGGAGGATTGTAAGAAGCAATTTGGAGCCAATGCTTAAGGAGAATGTGGTATAATGATAGACTGTCAATGTACTTATCCCTGTTAACTATTTCCAAATTATCTGTTTTAAAATAAATAAGAGATGGTTCCTCATTTCCATTCCAAAGCTTCAATGAACTCTCCATGCAAAACCCAATTCTGAAATCAATGACAGCAGAGTGACCAAATCTGGTTTTTGGTCAGCTGCTTCCATAGCGAAAAACAATTTCGACGCCACGCCACATCCATGTCCACTTTCTCAGCATACTCACTTATCATAGCAGTTCAAGAAACACAGGTTCTGTCATACATTCCATCAAATAAAAATCTAGCAGAATCAATATCTCCACACTTGGAATATATTGAAATTAGTTTATTAATCACAGATATGTATAGATCACTGGAATATATTGAAATTAGTTTATTAATCACAGATATGTCTAGATCACAGCCCATTTGATTTCCATGACAATGAATCAAATTTTCATATAATAGCGCCTCCTGCTGCACACATGATTAAAGTAAGCTAACAATGGTGCTAACATCGAAATCCATCAAGCATCATAAATTCATAGAAAGAAAGGTCACCTGTTGAGAAACAGAGGCCTCAGCAGCTGCAAGCATAGAACCTGGAATACTGTCGGTTACCAGTAGCAGCAATTATACATGGCTCAGCTTGTTGTAACAGCCATTAACTTTGAATTGAAAAAGTTAAGAGAAAACAATAATGAACAAATACTAAATAAATGTATATTTCGTCTTGAAGGAAACACATTCCACTGCTAGTTTAGCTGGGGAAGCTAATATTGAAAATTACAGCAACCAAATCATGTTTTCTCCCTCAGAACTGTTACACATGGATCATAAAAGAGTTTAAGAACTTGTCATATATCAATAACTGTACA